CCAATTCTCTTATGTACCTCCACTTCAAACTATCCCCCAATCTCCGCACATTATATAAAATTATCCTCATAATAGCTCTTCTTTATTTCTCTCCTCATGGCTTTTAATAACCAACTCCATACCAACAAGGTCTCTTTATTTCCATCACACAAATTTTCCCGGTCAAAGTGCCCTCCAAACCCTTGCACGACATTCCTATACCTTTTCCCATTTCCTACATGTTCTTTGCCTCCTTTGCCAAAAATTCTTGTTGCAGTTGGCAATGTGGTCCACGTTCATGTTTTGGCTGGACACAAATGACTAGGACCTCAATTATTTTCTTTGATTGGATAGAGATCATGAGACTTACTAGTAGAGGTTGATTTTGATGAAGCATATTTTGATCTTCATAAAACATCATATATATTTCCCCTTATTCTTCCTCTTACAAGCCCATTAGTTAGATCATCATTCTAAGATGAGCCCGAGCCACCCACGTCCTCTAGCTCTAAATTTAGAGGGCTTAATTTCCCACCTACACTTTCTTATTAAAGACCAAACTCGATTCGGCCCACCATTCTTTTACATTGTTCTATTACCATCATCATATCACCCCCTTCATTAGCCACTTTCTCCACTTTTGAATTCAGAAAAGTCTATTGCTTTTAAACCCCTCATTCATCTTGCTATCTCTGACACCATATAAACCCCCAGTCATAAGTTTGCCACCCACCACTTTTTATGCTTTCTGGTATCTTCATGACACATGTTGTTCTTGCATCCACCTATTGTCTCCTATATCTTCCAAATTACTCAATGGGTAAAAATCGTTCTCCACACCCTTTTGCTTGTACGTAGCAGCTCCTTCCAATTCTCGACTATCATGACCATTTCCATGACCTTCTCCATCATCTTTTTAGATTCCTCTGATGAGCACTCTAATTATGAAGAGGGAATATATAGATCGATCTCACTTATCGTTGACTCGTAACCATCTAACCCATACCTTTTCCATCTCCACCATATCGTTGAAACCCATATCATTGAACCTATAAAGACCCTTCTTCAACTGCTAAACTAAAATTACTTTACAATTTATTTTGTCATTTAAAACATCCATTTCAATGAAACTATAACTTATTTTGGTCGAATTTTAATGTACATGGTGTCTAATTCCACTACTATAATTTCTTTTATTACATGCGACTTTTCTTGCTAATTTATGAAAAATTCGTAGGAAACGTTGTTCTTACAAATTTTTCTGTGAAATTTTATCTGCATGTAATACCTTCATAGATAATATATTTTTGCGAATTTTAAAATTCGTAGGAAATTTTCTTGCAAAATTTCTTGCAAAAAAAATTCGTAGAAAAATTTTTTACAAAAAAAAATTGCAGGAAAGTTTCATGCAAAAAAAAATTCGCAAGAAAACTCGCAGGAAAGTTTCCTGCGAATTTTTTGCAAGAAATTCTGCAGAATATTTTTTCTGAGAAAATTAAAGAAATTATTATAAATTCTATCAATAATTCTTCAACAATGAATTCATCCGAAGTATTTGTTTCCATGCTTCCAACATGTGATACATAATCTTTTAAATTTTAAGATTGTAGATTATAAGCATAACACTCAACCATACAAATCTTCTTATAAGGTAAGTGTTGTCTCAACTTATATACTCTTTAAGTTTTTTATTTTCAATCGATGTGGGACTTGGAGTTTTTTTAAAATATTAAATATAAATTTAAATATTTTTTTATTTTTCTTGCGGATTAAAATTTGCAGGAAAATCCGCAGGAAAAGTTACCTGCAAATTTTTTTTATCATTTAGTAAACATTATTTGCGAATTTATTTTTGCAAGAAAATCTACACACAAAAAAATAAAATAAAATTCTTAGAATATTTTCTGCAAATTTTTACCATGAAAAAAAATTTCTATGATCATTAAAATTGTAGCAAAATTTGTAAGAAATATCTGTAAATTATTTTTCGCAAATAAATTCACAAAAAATTTCTGCGAATATTTTTTTTTAGGAAAATTCGCAAAAAAAATTCTACAAATATTATTTTGCAGGAAAATTCGCAGGAAAATGACACTTTTCTAATAGTATACTTTTCACTAGCAATGTCGGAGCTTAAAGCAACGATTCAGTAAATAGTGACCTTACCGTTAAGCCACCCATATAAAATAAATAAATAAATAAATTTTGGTAAAAAAAAAAAAAAGAATTGAGAAAAGAAAACTAATATTATAAGAGAAGGCAATTAATTTACAATAATAAATATGAGACTTAAATAGATTTTCAGTCTCTAAACTTTTTTCAATTTTTGTTTTCGGTTCATGAACAAATTTATTTGATTTTAATTCAAAATTTTCTTCACAAAGAAAAAACAATTTGTCCTTAGGGACCAAAATTTTAAAAGAAGGAAATGTTTAAGGACTAAAATTAAAAATCAGTAAAAATCCAAATACTAAAATTAGTAAAAAAAAATTATTTAAGAACTAAAAACTTAACTAAAATTTAAAGACTAAAAACATATATAATCTAAAATATTATAAATAAGGGAAGTTCAGGTAAAAAAAATTTAAAAACTACTTTTAAGAGAAAAAAAACAAGAAAAAAACATGAAATAAGTTTTTTGGATAAACTAAAATTAATTTATAGATAAATTAAAAATAAGTTTATAAAGAAGCTAGTATGGGAAAACAAATTTAACTCTTCTCATCTACTTTTATTTCCTATACAACTCGATCTGTTGAGAAGGAATTATGCCTTTAAAAAAAAACTAATTCATTTAATGTTTCCACCTTGCAGACTGCAAAATAGAAAATAGTTTGACAATAAGATGAACATCCTTCGCTCTTTTTGGAACAGTCCCACTGGCCTCAAAACAACCCATTTTTGGGGTCCTACCTTCAACTGGGGCCTTCCTCTTGCGGTACATTATTCTTACTTGGCACTGCTAAAATTAATAAATTATATAAATTAAGTGAATAATTAATCTAATTAATTTTCTTTTGTCACCAAAGCACATTTTCAATTATAGTTTTATGCTAATTTGAATATGACTCTAGAACTATTATTTATCAGGCAGCAATGGACACAAAGAAACCACCGGAAACAATATCTGTCAATATGACTGGAGGTTAATTAACGTTCTTTGAAAAACATTAATTTGTAATTGAATCGATTTTTTTTTCTTTCCAATTTATATGATTAAGCAGGATCTTATATAGTTAATTTAATTATGGAAATTAATAAATGGTATATAGTGCAGTGATGTGTGTTTATTCGGTACTGTGCATGAGGTTTGCATGGATGGTTCGTCCACGTAACCTACATCTTCTTGTATGCCATGCCTCCAACGAGACAGTGCAATTGTATCAACTCTCAAGGTGGTTCAGAGCTCAAAGGTAATTAATTAAAGGTTTAAACATGTTTTTAATAGTATTAAATATGAGGTAAATTTACTTTTCACTTCTGAAGTTTAAAATTATTTTTTCTAGTTAATATAAATTTTTTTTAAAAAAAAAACTTATTTCAGTCATACATATAAATATTGATAGTGAATTTGTCAAATAAAATTAATATATTATTGAGTTTTTGTACAAAATTTATCTATCAATATCTTTATTAGTAAAAATATTATATTAAATAAAGGTCATGGTGTCATTATTGGTGATATCATTGGTTGTTTCAAGAAATTAAAGTAAACCTTTTAAAATTATAGCTAAAAAAATTGGTTTTAAATGTGAGTGATCAAATATATATCCTCTTGAAGATTTGATGAATTTAAATTTATTTTAGAAAAACTCATTTGAGACCTTTGCCACTAATATAGAATTGATGGAATTTATTTTTTATGTACATATGAAAGTCCTTAAGAATGGATCAACGCCAAGAAATTTGACTATTTGAGTAATTTATAGGAGATTATTAGCATATACTAAATGTTTTATACGATTTCGACTTACTTTTAATACATAAATTAAGATTAATATTTTTTTTATATCTATACAATCTTTATATCTTTATATACTTATAACTGGATTTGTTATGTTTCCTCTTTAATGTGTAATAATAATAAATAAATAAAAAAGGCACTTGAACAATTTTCTTCAGCTGTTTATGATTCAATTCTGTTCGTTTTACAACTGTTACATTGATAACTGTCTTCAATTATATAAATAATATCTTATTTTGAAATTTTGATATTGCATGCAATACATACATTTAACATTTATTAAATTATTAATTTTACATAATTTGATACTAATTAACATTATGTGTTTGTTTGATGTATATACAGAGACCTTGAGCAGAACAAAAAGGAAGCAGATTCGGAGTGAAAGTGAAACGTGTTTATTTGTTCGCAAGGATTGAACTTCAGTTCTTCCATATTTATTCAATCCCTTTTTTTACCACTAAGATAATTCCGGTGGTTATTGAAACATGTTTGTTTTTGAACAATCAAGTTCAAAGAAAATATTGCTGGAATAATGACATTAAAGTATCATTAACAGTTTTATACATATAGGAATGTCAACGGAACAAAATAAGTAAGCAGTAATTTAGAGTAAGCAGTAATTTTTACTAAATTACTGTTTGTCTCGTTGGATAAATATTTTTTTTAATCTATTTTTATATTTGTGAGGATATTTATTAAATGAATATTTGAAAATTTGTTTAATATTTGTGTACCTGCGAATATTCATGAATATTTATTTTTAAAAAATAATTTTTAAAAATATTTTATAATTAGTTTAATAATTTTTTAAAATAATATTTTAAAAGTTAATTATTAAATTATTTAGATATTATACATAATTTTATTAATAAGATTTTTCAATTTAAAAATTAAACTTAATTGTTGTGATCACTAGTGCAAAAACTGCTTTTAAGAACAGGGTTTTAAAATCGGTTAACAGGGAACCGATTTTTAAAAAAATGTGGTGGCATTTTTGTAAATAATGCTACAGTTTTTAAAATTGGTTACCATTTAACCGATTTTAAAAAACCTTTTAAAATTGGTTACATTTTAATCGATTTTAAAAAGTGTATTCTTGTTGTTTTTTTAAATTAGTTCACAAAGAACTGATTTTGTATAGTCTATACAAAATCGGTTTCATTTAGAACTGATTTTGTTTGCATCATACAAAATAGGTTCTCAATAAACCGATTTTAAATACCCTATTGAAATTTGTCCCTCTTTTTCTCGCCCAGGTTTATCTCTCGAACAAATCCATTCTTTGTCTTCGTTGTAAAATCCGTTCATCTTCGTTGTAGCTATTCATCGCGAGTTCGTCATCTCCCACAAGGTATGTTGTTGTTTGCCACATTAGAAGGAGGGTTTCAGTTTTCGTTTTCGCTTAAATTTCAACAAAAGGACATTTTAACAATAAATTTATTGCAAGTTCGTTTTCGCTTAAATTTTCGTTTTCGCGAGTTCGTTCTTTGGCACCATTGATTCATTTTCGTTTTCTAGGATGCAAGAGGGTTGAAGCCACTGGATTCGTTTTCGTTCACCACGTCTTCAGTGTCGCTGTTCTCGACGGTGACAACCGTGGCCACCGGTTGCCGTCTGTGCCTGCCTTTGGTGCTTCTAGGGCTTTTTCTGCTACTGCAACTACTTCCGCGACTCCTGCGAGGGCATCTTCTTTCAGTCTCGTCCACTGCTTCTTCTAAGTTCGAGACGCAAAGGTTTGTTTTTCCTTTTTATTTTTCTTTGACAAAAAGTTCCGTTGTCGTATTTATTTAATGTTATAGTTTAATTCCACATGATTATTTATGTTGCAAAGAAAATAATATATTCAAATCCCTTTTGTATTGTAGAAGCTTCAGGGTTAGGCCTTCAAAATTTGAGACATCTGGATTACTTCCTTTCTGTAAAAGTGTTTTATAAAATTAAAGAAAAAAAAAGTTTTGAAACAAGGAGACAAAAAATGTTTTGTTTGGCAAGGTTCATTCTAGATCAGTAGCTTTGAATATGGACTTTCATTATGTATGCATTCATTCCTTAGGCTTCATCTGCTTACTTATTTACAGGATTGCTTAAAGTGTTTTGGCAAATTAGTGTTCAAATGTCTTAAGCATAACCTGTCTGTGAATATTCTTTAAGTACAGATTCCTTAGTAAATTTTCTATTAAATTATACTTTTGTTGATTTTATATCACAACTTCAGTTTGGATTTTGTGAATTGAGTTAAGTATAACAGCAACCAACATGTGCTCATGAATAGCTTCAAGAAAAGAAAAAACAAAAGAGGAAGAAACAAAAGAGGAATGTCTATAATTATAGCATTGTAACTCATGTGAAGGTCTTATTGAAATTTGAAACTTCAGGGACATGCTTAGTTTTGGTGCTTTCCCTTATTGTGATTACAAGCTATCTCCTTCAAATGCCCCTCCTTTAACCATTTTCTCTGTTAGAGTATAAAATCTACTCACGTTATATTACTAGTTGTACAGTAGTTTCACTTGTCCTTGTAGTAGTTGATCTCTTTCTGTGTAAGTGTAACTCTGTCAGTTAGGACATTTTTTCAGTTACATTGATGCTGAATTAGCACAGTTACTAACCTCCTCTAGACACTTCTCATAGTCTACATACTGTATAAATATGTATTCTTTCAATGCCCACAAAGACTTAGTGAAGAGAAACAACCCTCGCATGCCTGAGAAATGGGTGTTGAACGAGCATAACAAGACTTTTATAGAGTGGTTCAAAAAGAATGTTGGGACAGATTTAAATATTTCTGAAACTTTACAACGGCTAGCTCAAGGACCTAACTTTGATGTGTTTACTTTCTGTGGATATGACATTAACAATTACTCATTTTATACAAAGGCACAAGATGACAAAAGTACCATGCAAAATAGTGGTGTTACGATAGTTACTCAATCTATGCATTTTTCAACCAAAAATGATAAGAACCCCATCACAGCATCCATGTGTTATTTTGGAGTTACTGAAGACATGGGAGGTTGATTATGGTCCATTCCGAGTACCTGTATTTAAATGCAAGTGGGTTGATAGTAACAATGGTGTCAAAATTGATGAACTTGGATTTACCTTGGTCGACCTCAACAAAGTTGGTCATAAGGAAGAGCCTTTTATCATGACCTCAATAAAGTTGGTCATAAGGAAGAGCCTTTTATCATGGCTATGCAAGTAAAGCAAGTATTTTATGTCACTGATCCATCTAACAATAGGTGGTCAATTGTTCTACAAGGTAAGAGTAATAATATAGGTGATGAATTTGGAGATTCAATTGATATTATGGATACTCCTTCTTTGTCCAAATGGGTGCCAACTATTAATGAAGAAGATGATGTTGATAATGTACATGTCACTCGTGATGATCATCAGGAAAGAATATGGGAGAACATTCAAACTTGATCATATTTCCAAAATAGGTTATTATAGTTTTTTTTTTGTTAGTTACTTCTATTTATACTTTTATTTTTGTTATCACTTTAAGTATTATTTGTTATAAATTCAATTTTATACTAATGACTTGTAATTTATTTTGTTTCGATCAACAGATAAATATGGATGAACATCAAGACTCTCCTTTAGACTCTACACAGACTACAGCCAAGAAGAAAGTCAGAGGTTCCACTAGAATGAAGAATGTCACATCCAAACGCCTTCATGAGGAAAGATTGCATGTTGATATTGATGAGATAACTATGAGACCTACGGGAGACTCAGCTGCCTAATTTATGAGTACCATGGGGGTTCTTGCTAGAACCAAGATTTCTATTTTATTGCCTAATTGGGATCATGTAGAGGAGGTTGTCAAGAACCATATTTGGGCAGATATTACGGTAAAATTTCATTTATACTCAACATTTTTCATTATTAAACTTCATTAGGATATAACATGTATTAACTCATTGTTATCATAATTGTAGGAAACTTGGGACATTCCTAGGACAGAGGACATGAGAAGGAAAACCCTCTCTATTATGGCTGAGAGGTGGAGGGCATATAAGACTAGGCTCACGAACAATTACATTTTTGGAAAAAATAAAGGTGAATTTCCTGGTCATAAGAAGCCCACTATAGATCAAGAGACATGGAACGCATTTGTAGAGTCTGGAATGACTAAAGAGTTTTTGGTAAGTTAGGATTACATTCATTGTTATTTGTATTGTTCAGAATATTATGTTTTTACCTTTAATCTCATTATATGGTACTTTTGTTGGAGAAAAGAAAGAAGGCACAAGAGATTCAGGCAAACAATGACACCATTGTTGTGATGTCTCGTGGGGGTTATCCATGGCTTAAGAAAAAGTTGATGAAAGAGAAGGCTATGAAGCGTGAAGCTAGCCAAGATGAGACTACAGTTAGTGGTCGTCCTTCTCCACCCACACGCCATGAATTATGGAAGCATGGTCGCATAAAAAAAACGGGCGAGTTTACAACTAAGACAGCAAAAGAGATTGCTAATAAGATAGTAAGTATAATTATTTTGTACATATGATGCTAATTAACATATGGATCAATAGATGTTTATTAAATTGTTTTTGTGTCTTGTATTGTAGGATATATTGGAACAACAGTCTACAGAGGGATCTTTTATTTCCCATTGACGCCAGGATATACTCACAGTTGCAATTGGGAAGCCTAAGCACCCAGGTCGGGTTCGGGCTGCTGGTGGAGGTCATAATATACAAACCTACTTTGGATCAAACTCATCTTCAAAGACATCTGGCATGGTGGACTAGTTGGTGGAACTAAAGGTCTCTCAAGTTATAGCAACTTATGAGCAAAAATTTAGTCAGATGCAAGAGGAGATTCATAAGCGGCTACAAAAGAACATGCAAAGGCAACTACAAGAGCATATGCAATCACTGAGCCAACAATTTCAACAAAGTTCTCCACTATTAGAACCATTTATTGCGCGTGTGAGTACAAAGGGATCATGTGCATCTATTGATCTCCTTGTTACTGCCACTGGCCCGAGTACATCTAATAAATGTGAGTTGTTTGTGGATGGATCACTCGATCCTGTGGGTATAGGGCAGATTCACATATTAGGGTCCACTATACACCATCAAGTCATGGGAGATGATATGGTTAGGGTTTCAGTGTTGGATGTGAGACAACCAGAGGCTAGAGTTCCTGTGCCCACAGAGGAGGTTCAGACAATGGGACAAGCCTTGAACACCTTCCTTCAGTGGCCTCATAAGTTAGTAAAGGTGATATCTATGAAGGTATGTTATTTAAATAATATTTAATTTTAAGTTGGTGTAATTTTATTATAATATTGTATAATATTACTTTTTTACTTTGTGGAATAGGATATTGTTACCTCACCAAAGGGTAAAGGGACAGTCATTGTTACCCCTTCTAGAAATCTTCCTCCAATAAAGAGGCTATGGAGATTAGTTGCAGATATGGAGGATGACGAGCAACCCAAACAACTCCCTTGGCCTCCTGAAGTGTTTAACATGTCTAGTAAAGTACCTCTATATATAAGTCAGAGTGATATATCAGAGATTACAAATGGTCATTATATGCTAAACATATCAATTTTGCAGTTATGGTTGATGTAAGTATTTAAATTATTTTTAATTATATTTTGTTGATTTTTTCTAACATTGTTTCTAACGTTGTAGATTTATCCATAAATTGAGCGTGGATAAGGGAAATGATCACATATATGGATTTTTGGAACCAGAGTCAATCCAAAAAAGTGGGAACAAGGTCGAAGAAATACAAGCTTACATTCAAAATTGGATGTCTGAGTCAAATAAAAAAGTTTACTTGGCCCCTTATTTTTCTGAGTAAGTTTACTTTTATATAATTAAATATAATTCTTTATAAAAACTATTTTCTATTACTCATAATTTCTTAATGCAGTGCTCATTGGCAACTTTTAGTTATTTGTCCTATGGACAACATAGCTGTATGCATTTGCTCGTTGCATAAACCTCCTCCTACGGATTTTAGACAATTATTAGATAGGTAAATTGTTTAAAAATGTCTGATTTCTTTTATTGATTATCATTACATTTGACTTTAATTAAACTATAATCATAATGTCATTTTATCATTAGGGCCATGGAAGGATATCATATACTTAAGGGTTCAAAGTTGAAGAAAAAAATGAGTTAGGTCTCTACTAAAGTAAGATTTTAATTCTAGCAATGATATTTTTTTTAAGTAATTTTGTTTGAATTACTATTCTATTGAAATTGATTTTATATTCTTTTTATAGTCTCATAAACAAAAAAGAAATTATGAGTGCGGATATTATGTAATGAAGACAATACATACTATTATCGATTCACGAATAGTATCTGGGTGGACTGAAGTAAGTTTTACAATTTTGAAAGTTTTTATTTTAAGTTCTCATTATATATATTTTATGAATTATTACTAATTATTTAAATTTTTCTTAATAGATATTTATAGATCGATCACCATTGCCATTGGAAGACATAAACACCATTAGGGAACAATGGACCACATTTTTTATTGACCATTACTTTAACTAGTTTGGGCTTCTGTTTTATAGTATTGCTTTAACTAGTTAGAACTTACATTTCATTGAGCAATGTGGTTATTTATGTATTAGATGTATTTAAAACTATTCAATTATATATATGATTAACATTTATCATCTTGTCAATTGTATGCGATTTGTGCTTCTTCATTGAGAATATATTTTGAACTGTCTGGTTTTTCTGCAGGTTTTTTGTTCTGAGGTTATATATATGGTTGACATTTATCATCTCTTCTCATTTGTATGCAATTTGGTTCATTGAGAAGTAACATAAAAAATACAAATATTTTGGTTAATTGAAAATATTTGAACTGTCTGGTAATTTATTCATTTGCAGGTTCTATCTGAGGCGCTCTCAAAACAAGTCAGACATTAAAAAAATCATTACTTTTAAGATCGGTTATGCCACAACTGGTTTTAAAAGTCAAGACTTTTAAAATTGGTTATAAGTGAACCGATCTTAAAAGTTAGACTTTTAAGATCGGTTAATAACCGATTTTAAAAGTCTCACTTTTTAAAATCGGCTCTTTTAAAATCGATTGTAGAACCAATTTTAAAAGTAAAAAATAACTGATTTTAAAAGCCTTTTTTTCACTACCCTCTACTTCATATGTTATAACATATAAATAATATAAAACTGAATAATCTCAATATAATAAATGTACGCAAAATTCTTACAAGCAGAAAGGATCACACATTATTAACATAAAGTAGACATAGGAGAATTAACAAAATTACAAAGGAATTAAAATCAAATTATTCAAATTAAATAACATAAATTAAATCCTAACTAATATCTTGTATCAAGTATCCTATCAAAGCAAAATCCAACATTAAGGATTAGGCCACATCACCAACATCCTCAACAGTCAGCACCATGATGATAATCACTAGCAGAAATCATTAAAAAAAAACAACACAAAAGAAAAGGAAGTAAGAAACATCTCACTTTGGCTCAAGGTGCAAGAATGCAAACTAGCTAGTCAAACACAAATAACACATATAATATGATATAACATACATAGTTACACATTATTATCATACTTAGCTAACTCATAGCATAATAAACAACAATAGATAATACTATAATGCATATACAATGGGCATGGACTACTTGTTATCATGCATATAGCGCTAGTAAAACATCACACTTGTGCATTGCCGATAGCAATACACCATAGTAGTCTAGGAGTACATACCAGGTCATAACCTCTGCGTACTCTCACTAGAAGGACATGCTATTAGGGTCTGGTCAGGATAGCTAAGCCGCACAAGATACATCTCATGCTCACGAGGGCAAGACTGAGACTTCAAAACTGAGCTATCCCCAAGGTTAGTTATCAAGTTTTTACACAAAGGACCTTCCTTGATGGTATATTCCATATCATACCCTTAAAAAATATCTTTTATGCACATGATACCTGTCAAACAAACACTATGCGTTACATTGACATGGTTTTGTAATTTCACATCCACATATTCCTCATATCCCATACTCATCATATACTTTTATATATTCATCAATAGAAATCAATTCATATCCATATCAATATTACAACAGTTATAAGATTAGATTAAACAAAAGAACAAAAACACACAATTCAACCGATAAAAGTGTTTTATAACATGCAATTGACATTGCATATCATTCAATTTATACATACAACCAGTATCTTTATATATAACTTGTGGGATCAACAGGACCAAATGATCTTTACCTGGCCCTTGGCATCTATGTCTCCCAATCTTCATGCAAGAATGGTGGACTGCGATCACGCATTTCAAATTTAGAACACATTGCAGGTTTATTTTAAATTGCAGACTCGTGCAAAGGTGAATTAGTTAAAAATGCAACTCAAAGGTATCAAGAAATCTACCTCTTTGAATGTATATCTTCTTTCAATCAAGAAAACTATGAATACCCTAGCCTCTATAGGTTCCCCTATTGATTCCTCTGAACATATTTCAATTATTCTTGATGGTCTTCCTAGTGAATATAACCCCCTTGCCATATTCATAATCTTTAGAACTGATCCTTACATTAGAACTGAAATCGAAACCCTCCTAGCCACTCTTGAAAATAGATTAAAAAGACAAAAGAAAGAAGAACATGATTCCTTTGCTATGCAGAATATACAAGCCAATCTTGCTCAGATTCATAGCAGATTTGGCAAACATCAAGGTGGAAGGTTTCAAGGTAGAGGAAACATAAATTATAAAGGCAACAATTTTAGAGGGCGTAGTAGAAGTTTTGGCAGAAATAATAACAAAGGTAGCAGGAATTTTAACAATAAACCACAATGCCAAATCTGTAGCAAACCTGGGCACACAACTCTTACTTGCTATCAGCGGTTTAACCCGAGTTATCAAGAAAGTCTCTCTTCTAGTATTTAGACTCAATACTCAGATAGTCACAATACTGCTATGATGACAAAAAAAAATCTTTTGATACACAGTCCAATATCTCAACATACATGGCAGTACCTGAAACCCTTTATGACCCCTCATGGTACCCAGATACCGGTGCAACAAATCATGTAACACCGAACTCCACAAATCTGCAAGGTAAGGCACCTTACAATGGGGACAGAAAAATGAAGATGGAAAATGGAGAAACCTCTTCTATAAGAAGTATAGGTACCTCTTTCTTTTTTACTCCTAATTTAATTTCACCTCTTTTTCTCAACAAATTATTACATGTACCTGCTATAACAAAGAATTTGCTAGGGATAACAATGTCTTCTCTGAGTTTTTTTTTCCTAACAAGTGTTGTATCAAATTTTAGGCAACTAGGAAACTCCTACTCGAGGGCAAATTAAGACATGGACTTTATGCATTTGATGATATTTCTCTTATTACATCTCCTTGTACATTTGGTCCTACTAATGTAGCTTCATATAATTCTATTTCATCTAGTATCTTAGTTGATAATAGTACTAATGGTCCTACCAAATTGAGTTTGTACAAACTATGGCACTCCAGATTGGGGCATGCAAATTACAAAATAATTCAACATGTTCTGCATAATTCTAATAATTATGTGCCTAGAAATTTTACTTTCAATGTATGCAGAGCATACTACTATGGTAAATCTCATAATTTGCCCTTTTATTCTTCTAAGACAACATATAATAAACCTTTGCAACTAGTTTTCTTTTATATATGGGGACTTGCACCTATACCTTCATCAAATGGCTACAGGTATTATATCCACTTTCTTGATGTTTATTCCAAATATACACGGATTTATCTAATCTAGTTTAAATCTCAGGCTCTTTCATGTTTTATGAATTTTAAGAAAATGATTAAGAATCAATTAGATATGAAAATCAAATGCTTACAAACAGATGGTGGCAAAGAATATACTACTTTTTCAGGTTTCTTAAATGAGCATGACATTATACATAGGCTTAGTTTCCCTTACACTCATGAACAAAATGGGACAGCTGAAAGAAAACATAGGCATATTGTTGAAGTAGGTTAATTCATGCTTGTGAAATGAAATTGTAAGTGAACCAAGAAT